TGATAAATAGTCCAGGGCTACAACCTCCCATGGGTAACTGGATACAATGGGCTGAAGAGGGGCCCTCACCTTGGGACCAGCCTTCCCTGTCACACATTGTGGGCATACTACTGTCCAGGACTTTATGTCCTTAGCCATCCCCAGCCAGTAGAATCTGCACTGCAGGATACTCAAGACCTTTTCGCTGTTGGCATGTCCAGCCGCTTTGTGGTAATCCTCCCACAGCTCCCGGGCATGTTGGGTTGGGACAATCAACTGGAAAGCCTGCTGGCCCGTGTCGGGTTCCTGAATGCAGCGCCCCAAGATTCCGTCACGAAGTTCCAGCCGATCCCATGTCTGCAACCACCCGTGCACTTGGGGGAACTCAGACCGTCGCACCTGAGACACATTTAACCCGTTGGTTTATCAATTGTCTCACCTTGTCCAACTCCGGGTCTTCCTGTTGGCGCTCCAGCCAAGACCCTGGATCACAGTCCTGTCCAGCTGGTGGATCCTTCACTCTTAGACCTCCCTGAGCTCTGGGCACGTTGTAGACTGCTTTGACATCTACTTCCCCTGGGAGCCGGGACAAGGCATCTGCATTCCGGTGTTCCACACTGGGTCGATACTTGATTGAAAAGGTGAAGTTTGCCAGCTGGGCTGCCCACCTCTGTTCCACGGCCCCCAGTTTGGCTGTCCCCAGGTGTACCAGGGGATTGTTGTCTGTAAACACTGAATTCTGTGCCACACAAGTAGTGTTTGAACTTCTCTGTGATTGCCCAAAATAGCACCAGAAACTCTAACTTAAAAGAACTATAGTTCTGGTCATTCTTTTCACTAGGGCTTAGACAACGGCTGGCATATGCAATCACTCGTTCCTTCACCTGCTGAACCTGTGATAGTACTGCACCCAGCCCATCCAAACTGGCATCTGTATACAACAGGAAGGGCAATTTGAAATTGCATACGCCAACACAGGCGCCTGTAATAGAGCTCGCTTAAGTTCCTCAAACGCACTCTGGCACTCTTGAGACCACTTAACTGTTGTTGATTTAACCCCTGCAGTAGCCCGAAGCAGAACATTCAGGGGAGCTGACAGCCGGGAAAAGGCAGGGATGAATCGGCGGTAGTAGCCTGCAAAGCCTAAGAAAGAACGGACTTGAGTGACTGTCTTGGGGACCGGCCATTCCTGCACAGCTGCAGTTTTTTCTGGGTACGTGGCCACCCTTTTCTTGCTGACCACATGTCCCAAGTATTTCACTTCCTTCTGGAACAGGTGACATTTGTGGGGTTGGAGCTTTAGGCTGTGCTGGTGTAGTCTCTCAAACACTTGTTCCATGTGCTTGAGATGACTATCAAAGCAGGGAGAATACACAATGATATCATCCAGGTATATCAATAGAAAGTCATTTACTTGCCCTCCCAAACAGCGTTGCATGAGCCGCTGGAATGTGGCTGGAGCATTGCACAGACCAAACGGCATCCGCTCAAACTGGAAGAGGCCCACTGGTGTTGTGAAGGCGGTCTTCTCCTGGTCTCGGTGGGCCACTGCAACCTGCCAGTACCCGCTAGCCAGATCCAGTGTGGAGTACCAAGCTGACTCCTTGAGGTGGGTGAGCGACTCTTCGACTCTGGGCAAAGGAAAAGGAAAAGCATCTTTGTGAGTTATGGCATTAAGTTTCCGGTAATCTACACAAAAACGCCACGATCCATCCTTTTTCCTTACCAACACTACAGGTGCTGCCCAGGGGCTGGAACTTTCCCTTACAACATACCTTCCAGTAGGGCTCGTAACTCAGCATAGAGTGTTGGTGGAACTGGCCTGTGTCTCTGTCAGATTGGAGGTGCATCACCGGTAGGGATCTGATGCAAGACTGCACTTGTGTGGCCAAAATCATCTTCATTGGCTGCAAAAACCTTGGTCCACCTCCGAAGTAGATCACTTAAACGCTGCTGCTCGTTATGGTTGAGGTCCTCTCCCTGCAATGCCAGGGCCGGATGATCTGGAGGTACAGTAGCATTCGGGACTGGAGTACTGCTTATACTTCTCACCTCTACCTCCACCGCAGATGGCCCCGTGTGGGTCAACACCAACTCCTCCTCGGTCTTCACAGCCTGAGGATCCACCTGGGACACTGTAGCCAGGGCACAACGCTGGGGGATCTCTATGGAGAAGGGATGGGGGTTACACACTCTTATCGGCACTCTTCCACTCCTTACCCAGCTCAGTGTCCTCGCAACCCGTCACTCCTGGTCATCATTCTGGAGATTTTCCACCATAACACAGCAGTCTGGGGTGCCAACTGCTTGGGGCACCTGGGTCCAGATAATCATTTCTGTCTCTGGGGGAACCAACACAGCGGACTGACGGGGCAGTTTGGCAACCCCCTGCAGTTCGGTGGGGAATCCAACACAGCCCACTCGTCGACAAACAGCAAATGCCTTTCCCCAGGCTGTGCTGACCGTAGGTGGCAGTGTTGACCTGAAGGCCGCCTCTCCTTGGTGGCCATCCTGGAAGATAGTTTGCCAACAGTCCCCAATCAAATTCATCCCCAATAAGGCACATTCCTGTTGAAGGCAGGAATCTTCACCCATTGATCACAAAGTCCAAAAGCGCATATCCAATGTATGGGATGTGAAGCCCATTTGCAGCCTTCAGAGTGAGCCAGGGGATGTCTCCTCGGACTAATCTTTCCTCAAACTTCTGGTTCAGAATAACTGAACAAAGTGACTTGCGAACCAGTGTCCAATATACAAGGAATATTTTCACCACTTATAATTACATCCACCTCTGGGCAGGTACCAATCAATGCAGGCTTTGTTGGGGGTGTGGTCTGGGTCCCCCTCCTTGCCCGGCAGCGACCGAGGAGACTAAAAATCCGAAGGTCCAGAGCGTCGTCTGGAACAGAACCGGCGGGTGTGGCCCGCCTGCCCACACTCTAAACAGATTGGCCGACCTTGGGGGTCCCACTGGAACTGAGTCCTGGCTGTGCCCGGGGGTGGTTGACGAGGCCTAGGCTGAAATGCGGGCCCTGCTTGTGGGTTTTGCCTCTGTACAGTCGAGTCAACAGGCCCCACAGAGGTTAGCAATTTGACCACGCATCTCTTCCGAGAGACTTGCCCAGTGTTAACATCTGGTCTTTAAGATCCTGTTGGAGCTCTGCCCGCAGGGAGTCCCATAATGTCTGGCTGTCCTGGGCAGGTGGGGGTACTAAGGAACATGAAGGCGTGGCAGGTGGTTGGGTTTGTGGAGGCCTGGGGGTATAAGTGTGACAGGCCCATGTCTCAGTTCCATCTTTAGCCTGCTCCCTTTCAAGCGCTTTGGCCTCGGTGCAGATAGCAGGAAAGGTCATTCCCGGCGTGCGACGAAGACGTCGTTTCAATTCTTGTTTCACCAGGCTTTTCTTGCCTGATGAACTGTGTCCTCAGAGGCTCATCTTCAATGTCCTCAGCTGGTGGTTCCCGCGCTTGCCACTTGTGATAGAGCTCACAAAAGCGTAGAATGAAAGCTCCTATTCCCTCCTCTGCGCCCTGCCTGCATTCATAGAACTGAGCCCTCAGTGTTACCAGTGACTGACTTCCCGCATATAATGAAGTCAGACAAATATTTTTTTTTCAATGTCCCGCTAATAGTAAAATGTCCCGTTTAGCTTCACCACCCAGAGCACTTAAGATAAAGTCAACTATTTGTTCGTTCAAAAGACCCTGAGCCCGTAAAAACATTTCAATTTTTGCCCGCCATTCCCCAACCTTCTCTCCGGTTTTCCCTTCAAACATAGGAAGCCATGTTCCAATACTGAGCGACCCAGGGATCTGGTTGGAAGACAGCAGCTGGAGACTTTGCGTGTGTCTCCCAATAGTTCGGAGCGTGTCCGACTCAGATGCGCACTGGCCCTGATAGGAACAAGCGCGCGGTGCGAAAGACAGGAACTTGAGGACGTTGCAATGATCAGGAACTTGAATGCGTTGCAATAACAGGAACTTGAGTGCGTTGCAATAAACAGGAACTTGAGTGCGTTGCAATAAACAGGCACTTGAGTGCGTTGCAATAAACAGGAACTTGGGAGCGTTGCAATTCTGCCTTCAACCGACCAGTCGATCAGCGGCTGGCAGCCGTACAGCAAATCGCAGTGCAGCAGAACTTCCACAGTGGACCTTCGCCTCACGGTCGCTTCCTCGTCGATCCGTCCAGAGCCTTGCTTCCCGTTCCCTCTTCGCCTCGTAGCTTCACCTTTTCCGTTCTCCCGGCTCATGTCCCGGCTCCTCGCTTTAACCAACCACCGGCCAATTCTGCTTAAAATACATATAGGCCTACACACAGTAAATATAACGCATCATCATTTGACATACAAAAATCCCATCCCTACTGGCGACATTTGTATACAACTGTAAACTAAATATTAAATGGGAGGGTATAAGAATACATACATAGCCTACTGAATGAAGAAAACAGCAACACCAGAATAATGTTCACATGCCACATTTGAATGGTTTCTGTTGTTGTTGTTGTTGTTGTTGTTGTTGTTGTTGTTGTTGTTGTTGTTGTTGGTATTCGAATGGAAATCGTGGCATATAATTGCTTTGAGACCCCTTTGAGTTTAAATAGGCTACCTAACGTTTGTTGAATAAAGTAGGCTATGTTTTCTATATTTCTCCAATTCACTTAGGCTATATTATACATTTTTTTTAAATATATAAAATGATATTCCAACAATATACAAATTTAGAAAAAATGAAATATACTGGCTTAACATGGATACATTTTTCTTAACCGAATGTTTGTAGAAGTAAAACATAAAATGGAGGGAGAGAGACGAATAGAGAGAATGCTTGAATCACCTTTTATGCTAATAAGAAACCCACTTTTTCTGAAACATTTACTTTAATCCAGTAAAATATAGCTGAACTTTTGTAACCATTAATTAAGAAGTATGTTCTATTGCAAAGGCACCATCACCAGAAGGGGGCGCTGAATATCTCTATCCTCTCATTGGTGTCAGGTGACCCGCTGGTGACCCGGATGTTGACATGATGATTTTACCCGGGCGCTACCATGAATAACTGCTAGCATCTTCACAATCACATCTTCATAATAACACAAATTGATGCCCTGAAAAACATCTAAAATTCGTGTCTGAGACTTTATTCATTTTCTCACACAAAAGGACAGACATTTATAAACATGTCTCAAGAAGGATATACATCACCAGCAAGGATAACCAGCGCAGACACGAGGTTTGTTGATTTATTAATTACTAATTGTTTAACGTTTGCTTTACATTAATGACACAATGCTGGCAATGCTACCGCCAACCGGTTCTACTGACGCAAAGTCTTGTAATAATGATACACAACGTTAGCTAGTAATGATTGAATGAACGCTGTCAAGTTTCTCAGTCACAGTGAAATATTGACCTAACATTACCAATAAAACGCGATATACATTTTAGAAAACTGAAACACATGTTGCAAGCTGTTTTTTGCAGAACAGTTGTTAAATGTAGCTGTATTTTGAAGGTTATCTTGGTTACGACTAGAGGTCTTAATGCTTTTCTGTTTGTTTTTTTTGCCATCAAAAGGCAGCCATTCTTTAATTATATTTTGTATATTTAAAGCTCCAAATGTGTCCTTTAGAGACTCTCTGTAAGCATTAGATAAAAACAGATGTTTAATTGAATGACAGGACCTAACTGCGTCAACGTCTGAGAGCTAACGTTACAAAGAGAGCAACACATCCGCGCATTTTGCCTCTACGTCCTCACTGATGAGACTAGCTCGCTAACGTACATGTGATGGACAAACCCTCTTATCCAGTTACTATTACATTTTTAGCCAAAACACTCACATGTGCTCATTTAACTATGTTTTATCATTGCAATTCAGAACTTCTTGCAGCATTATGTGTATTCACAAAGTCTATGTTTTAACTCATTTCTATCTCCTTTATGAATTGTCTTTTTGTTCAATATATTTTGTTTTTTAATACTTATTGGTTATTGCCTATTTAAAGCACTTCAAATTGCCTTTTTGTCTGAAATGTGCTTTATAAATTAACTAACCTTAACCTTAACATGTCGAGTTTTTGTAATGTAAAGACCCTGGTTAGGCAGAGTAATATGGCATAATGTTCCAGCCTTAGCTATTGGTATTGGCTATATATGGTTTAACTAACTAGCTGACAGTTAAAATTAGCATTTTAAATATCAATATAATTCACATTTTCCCTCGAATAGAATAAAGGTTTTATGAAGCTGAAACATTGTTTTAAGAAGATTGTCTCTGAGGCACAGAAAGTGCCAGATTTGAACAACCCTTATTGTTGCAGCCAATTTGATGTATTTTAATATTTGTATATGAAGGTGCTGTGATACTACTGAATTGACCTGGGCATAGGCGGGGACTCAGCCAATTTCAGGGTACAGCCTACTATTTATGGAGGACACAGGTGCACAGCATTAGGGATTGGGAATCACCAGAGGGAAGCCACACAGTTTTTCAACCGTGCGTGTTTTCGCTTATTTTCTGTTTGTTTTGAGTTAATTTCAGTTTATTTCTTTATCACGGTTAGTTGTTAGTTATCAGTTAAACACCCGGCTCTTGTTTTGCTGTCATCATCCTGCAATCCAAATAAACATCTGAAATGCACTGAAAGAGAAGACCTGATTTGCTGTCAACCCCACGCGTCTGGAAAAGCTTCACACCATATCCCTCACTGGCAAATATTTGTTGTTTGGTTGCCTTTACATTTGTTGAAAAACTTGCTTCCAAAGACGGATGGACACAGGAGGACAGCGCTGTATTCATTGACTTTTCCTGACTTAAATCCATGTTACGCACCCGCAAGAGGAATGGGGACGGACCAAACATCAAAGTCACGGTAGGAGTATTTATGAATGAATAAAAGGTTGCGGAGGAGAGTGGCCTTCACGCAACGGGATACAGGCAAATCCCATAAAGTAATTCTAAACAAAGCCTCCGTGGATTGCTAAATAATGGCCATGCACGAGGAAAATCAGGAAATGAACGCTGCTGTCAATCAAACTGAAAAGGAGGATGGGCTTGGTAAAAGGACAGCTAAACTCACATATAAAGCAGCGGAAGCAAAGATATTATCTATGCAAAAGGATAGGAATTCTGGGATAAAGCAATTGTGTAAAATGGCAAAGGAATTGGAACAAATGATGATTTCAGATGGAAATGTTTCTGACATGCAAATCAAACATGAAATGTTGTGGAAACTGTCTGGGGAAACTACAAGGTTGCATGAGTCATTAAAACCTTTGTTGCCTGAGGATGAAATGTTTAAACAAACGGAATGGTTTCAAAATCAAATGCACAATGTTAAAGGAGTAATACACAAAATGGAAAAATGGGTCCATGCAAACAGGGAGAAATGCATACAGGTTGTGGATGATGAAAATGATGTGTTACATGCAATGAGGAGCTGGATAATATTGGGCCAAATGACAGTATTTCTAACATTGGTGACAAAACAAATGTGTCAGGTGGAAGCTCTGGCCATTCAAGGTCCTCAAGGTCAACAACGTGCTCTGCACGTATCAAGGCAGAGGCTGAAAGGGCTGCGCTCCAGGCTTTGGAGGCTGCTCTCAAGGAAAAGCATGAGCTGGAAGCTCAAGAGGCTCAAATTACGAAGAAAAGGGAATTGCTTGAAGTGCAAAGTCAGATTGCTGCGCAGACAGCAAAAGTCACAGTACTCCGAAACAGAGGGTCTGACATAGGAGTCACACATGGAACACATTCATATGTGTCAAAACACAAGTCTGCTCTCAAACCCTCTGCTGTGCCATTTGTTCCACAAACTTCAAGTTGTACCGTCAATCATCCACCATCAGGAGGCAGTAAAACTGCTATGTCAATGAAAGCACAATTATTGGAGCCAAACTGTCAATACAATCATCCACCAACAGGAGGCAGTACAACTACAAAACCCACTCAATCACATCAAAATCCATACAACCAGTACAATCCACCAACAGGAGCTGCTAAAGCTGCAATGCCATTACAGTCTCAGCAGCTACAGGATCCATACAACCAGTTCAATACTGCAGCTACAATGCCAAGTGGAACAGGGGCACGGCGCAAAGAAACCATTTCACAAGGAACCAGATAAAAAACGTATGCTTCAAATCACATCCCAAGCATGCCTCAAAGGTCTTTGCAGTCATATCCCAGTGCATATACACAACAGCAATGTATCCAAGTCGATGAGGACCAAGGCAGAATGCCTCAAAGATCTCGTCAGTCATATCCAACTGCACAGCCATCACAGCAATCAAACCAACAGTGAGGAACCGGACCAAGGCAATATTTTTACCATCATGCAAAAGCAAAACGACATCACAGCATTACTAGTGCAACAGCAGTCTTCATTATCATTACCCCCAAGGGACATACCAGTGTTTGATGGAAACCCTCTTGAGTACAACTTATTTGTCAGAGCTTTTGAAAATGGAGTGGAAAAGCTGCTAGCAGTGTAGACTGCTTATACTACCTGGAGCAGTACACTCGAGGGCAACCTAGAGAGCTGGTCAAGAGCTGTCAACACATGCCATCTGACAGGGGGTATCAAAGAGCAAGAATGCTTTTAGAAGAACGCTTTGGAAATGAGCAAAAAATAGCCACTGCATTTATGGAAAAAGCACTTGGATGGGCACCACTGAAGTCAGAGGACATCAAAGCCTTACAAGCATTTTCACTATTCCTACGTGTCTGCTGTAACGCTATGGAGGACATAAGCTACATGTCAGAAATGAATATGCCATCAAACATACGTGCTATAATCATGAAGTTACCATACAAACTGAGGGAAAAATGGAGAAACATTGCTTTTGAACATCAGGAGAGACGCCATCGTCAAGCAGGTTTCAGTGACTTGGTCAATTTTATTGAGAGACAAGTGTCTATTGCATCTGACCCACTGTATGGAGACATTCAAGACACAGTTGTCTCATTCTCAAAATTCAAAGTTGGAAATAAAGTGTCATAGGGACGCATAAAGGAGAAAGGAAGCAGTTTCGCTACATCTGTGGCAGCTGTTAACTCTGAAACTCAAAAGGAGAAATACTACCTGATAAGTCAACAAAGGGACCTTGTCTGTTGTGTGAAGAGGGCCACAGATTGGAAGTGTGCCCCAAGATGGAAAAGAAGCAGCATCGGGATAAAATGTATTTCCTAAAAATGAAAGGTGCTTGTTTTGGATGTCTATCAGTTGGACACATGAGTAAAGATTGTCACAGTTGGCTGTCTTGTAAGTTGTGTAACCTGAAACATCCTAGCATTCTCCATATCCATGCAAAGGAATGGAAAGAAATCAAGTCAAAGGACTCACAGCAAGAAACAACAAGGATGAGTCAAGCCACTACTCCCAAGACATGTGGCCATATAGGAGCCGGAGCACAGGATTGCGTCTTGTCAATTGTGCCTGTAAAGATCAAGGCAAAAAAAGGCAGCACAATTCTAAAGACCTATGCATTTCTAGATCCCGGCAGCTCATCTACTTTCTGCTCTGAGCAACTGATGAGGAAGCTAAAGGTGAGAGGAAGGAACACTAAATTCCTGATGAAAACAATGAATAAAGAAAGCTTTGTCAACAGTCACGTCATCTCAGGATTAGAGGTAGCTGCACTCAATGGTAACATCTATATTGAGTTGCCTGATGTGTACACCCAACGCAAGATGCCTGTGACTCGTAATAACATCCCACAACAGGAAGACTTGTATGCTTGGCCATACTTGGACTCTGTGGAAATTCCTGCTATCGATGCTGATGTGGAGCTGTTAATTGGAACTAACTCTCCAGAAGTAATGGAGCCATGGGAAGTGATAAACAGCAGGGGTAAAGGACCTTACGCTGTTAGAACTCTATTGGGATGGGTTGTCAACGGACCATTGAGAGGAGGCAATGAGAGTGGGAGTAGCTGCCCCACAGTCACAGCCAACCGCATATCCATTGCTCAAATAGAGGAACTGCTGGTGAAGCAGTACAACCATGACTTCAATGAGAAATCAGCAGAAGACAAGCCAGAAATGTCCATAGAAGATCTTAAGTTCATGCAAATTGCCAACACTTCAGCTGAACTCAACAACGGACATTACTGCTTGAAGTTGCCTTTTAGAGAAGAGGACAATGTTGTCATGCCCAACAACCGCCATCTTGCTGAGCAAAGGGTCCTCTGCCTAAAAAGGAAATTGGAGAGAAATCCAACATTCAAAGAGGAATACACCAACTTTCTTGATGTCATAAACAACGGCTATGCAGAGAGTGTGCCAGAGCATCAGGTGAAAGGAAAAGAAGGATAGGTGTGGTACATCCAGCATCATGGGGTGTACCATCCTAAAAAGAAAACCCTGAGAGTGGTATTTGACTGTGCGGCAAGCTACAAAGGTGTGTCACTCAACACTAAACTACTCCAGGGACCTGACTTGACAAATTCCTTGCTCGGAGTTCTCACAAGGTTTCGCCTAAACTCTATAGCAGTTATGGCTGACATAAAAGCTATGTATCATCAAGTCCAAGTGGCAAAACAGGATGTAGACTTTCTTCGCTTCCTATGGTGGCCAAGAGGTGATCTGACACAGCCGCTCACTGAGTACAGAATGACTGTTCATCTGTTTGGTGCAATATCATCGCCCAGCTGTGCCAGTTTTGCCCTTAAAAAAACGGCTGAAGACCACAAAGCAGACTTCCCAGTTCATGTAACAGACACCATCAAGCAGAACTTTTATGTGGACGATTGCTTGAAATCCTTGTCTTCAGAGGCAGAAGCCATGTCTTTGGTTACAGACCTGACCGCTCTATGCCAGTTGGGAGGATTCCAACTGCTGAAATGGATCAGCAACAGCAGGTCAGTGTTGGAAGCCATTGATGTGGAGAAAAGAGCCAAGGAAGTGAAAGAACTGGATTTTGACAGAGACAGCCTTCCTGTCGAAAGAACCCTGGGACTGCAGTGGTGCGCAGAAACTGACACCTTTGGGTTCAAGATGGCAGTCCAAGAAAGGCCATTCACAAGAAGAGGTATCCTGTCAGTGGTGAGCTCGGTCTACGACCCCATTGGATTTTTAGCACCCTTCACCTTACCTGTCAAGATAATGCTGCAAAACCTCTGTAAGATGAGCTACAGTTGGGATGAGCACATTCACAAGTTTCAGTTAATACTGTCATCATTAATGATGCACCAAACGCAACAAATAACATCTCTGATGAAGACCCACAGAATGCAGTAAATCAACTGATAACCCACTTCTCCTCGTGGAAAAGGCTTAAGATCTCAGTTGCGTGGTTTCTCCAGCTGAGAAAGACGTTGCAGTTGTTGAGTCAAAAGAGAAAATAAATACAAGCTTCTCTGTCCAGCAGTGGACTTGAGCCAACTCAACAAAAGAACAAAGAGGAAGAGGACATGAAAAGATTCAGAGCCACAATGGGTGGTCACGTCTTATTTCCTGAAGATATTGACGCGGCAGAAAGTGTCATCATTCAGTACTGCCAAATGGACAAGTTTAGTGATGAAATCACTGCTTTGAAAAAGGGAACATCTGCAGTGAAGAAAAGCAGTCACATTTATAAACTTGATCCGGTGCTGAAACAAGGAATCTTGAGAGTGGGAGGTAGGCTTAGCAAAGGAGCAATACCTGAAGACACAAAACATCCAGTCATTCTTGCTAAGGACCAACATATCGCCACTCTAATCTTACGCCACATTCATGAACAGTTAGGACACTGGAAGAAATCACCTACTTTCCAGACTTCGTCGACAATACTGGATCACCATGCAAATGCTGCTGCTAGAAAGATCCTCTCTCCCTGTGTTGTCTGCAGACGATATAGGGGAAAGCTGGGTGAACAAAAGATGGCAGATTTGCCAAAAGAAAGACTGCAATCTGATCTTCCACCATTCACAAATGTGGGCATTGACTATTTTGGGCCGTTTGAAGTGAAGAGAGGCCGCAGCCTCATCAAACGCTATGGAGTTATCTTCACCTGCATGGCCAGTCGGGCAGTCCATCTGGAAGTGGCCTATTCATTGGACACCAGTTCTTGCATAAATGAAATACGCAGATTCATTTCCAGGCGAGGCCAAGTATCACACATCAAATCAGACAACGGAACCAACTTTGTTGGAGCAGAACGTGAGCTGAGAGAAGCTCTATCTCATTTGAACCATCAGAAAATTCAAAACTCACTGCTTCATTCTGGAGTGAAATGGAGTTTCAACACTCCAGCCGCATCCCATCATGGAGGAGTATGGGAAAGAGTAATTCGCATGGTCAGGAAAGTGCTGAACTCTATTCTTCATCAGCAACATTTGGATGATGAAGGACTACAAACACTCCTGTGCGAAGTGGAAGCCATATTGAATGACCGTCCCATTACAAAAACCTCAGAGGATCCAAATGATCTCGAACCCCTGACTCCAAATCACATTCTCTTGTTAAAAGGCAAACCTTCTCTACCACCCGGGCTTTTTGACAAAAATGACTCCTACTCCAAACGACAATGGAGGCAAGTTCAATTCCTTGCCAATCTCTTTTGGCACAGATGGATTCAGGAGTATGTACCACTGTTGCAAGAGAGACAACGGTGGCCAAAGGACAAGAGGAACTTTGTCACAGGAGACATTGTCATCGTAGCGGACTCTAATGCCCCTCGCGGATCCTGGCTGTTGGGCAAGGTACTGCAGACCTTTCACGACAGACAAGGACTTGTGCGGTCGGTTAAAGTCCGGACGAAGTACAACATCCTGGAGCGACCAATCACGAAGATCTGTCTTTTATTGGAAGCTGAATAAAGACTGAAACCCAACTTCTATTATTGGGGTTACCAACCCTATTGGATTATCTACATGAACAATGAACATTATGGATTGAGAATACTGATATGGACTATTCTATTTGGCTGCAATGTTTTGTATGTTGTTGAATTGTTATGTTATTATACAGTAACAATTAGGAGCCGGTGTGTTGCAGCCAATTTGATGTATTTTAATATTTGTATATGAAGGTGCTGTGATACTACTGAATTGACCTGGGCATAGGCGGGGACTCAGCCAATTTCAGGGTACAGCCTACTATTTAGGGAGGACACAGGTGCACAGCATTAGGGATTGGGAATCACCAGAGGGAAGCCACACAGTTTTTCAACCGTGCGTGTTTTCGCTTATTTTCTGTTTGTTTTGAGTTAATTTCAGTTTATTTCTTTATCACAGTTAGTTGTTTAGTTATCAGTTAAACACTCGGCTCTTGTTTTGCTGTCATCATCCTGCAATCCAAATAAACATCTTAAATGCACTCAAAGAGAAGACCTGATTTGCTGTCAACACCACGCGTCTGGAAAAGCTTCACACCATATCCCTCACTGGCAAATATTTGTTGTTCGGTTGCCTTTACACTTATAGTAGTTTTTGATCTCGAGTTTTGTGTACAACAATGACATTTTTTGCACGATCATAAAAGGAATAAAGCCCTCACAAACTTGAAAATGTATTGGTTTAAGGTTTTACTTATATATCGAAGAGGAGAACAAAGGGCTCAGATGGCTCAGCAATACGTTGTATCCCTGACGACGACGACGACGATGATGATGATGATATATTTTATGATTTCAATGACACTTTTGTTTGCTATGGAGAAACATAATTACAATGAAATGCCACACTGTCAACCTGCTTTTGATATTGTTACCACAACATTCACACCAAAACATTGAAGAATGGTTTCCTGAATGAGTGAGTGTTTGATATTGGAAGAGTAGAACAACCCTGCTCACAGAGTAGCACATCATGGTAACAAAGGCCCTACGTAGCTGTGGACGTAACCGGATGTATGATTACATAGAAGAAGCTCATGAGACACTGTGTTTTACATACGATAGCATGATGACACAGCCCCTAGGGAGACTACTTCCATTCTTGCAAGGATAATAAATACATGTATCCTGCCTGATTTTGAATCTCAAGCCGGTGACGAGTGATATTTTTCTAACACTGTTTTTGGATGCTTGTTCAACAGCTTGAATTCAGATGAATCGCAGAGGACCAACCCCAAGAAAACACCTATTCAGATCCTGCATGAATATGGCACCAAGAGTGGCAACCTCCCTGTGTACGTGATGGAGAAGGCTGAAGGGGAGGCTCACCAGCCCAGCTTCGTCTTCAGCGTGAAGATTGGAGATGTGTTCTGCACAGGTACTGTCCCGCCTCCTGCTGGGCTTCAAGCTGCCTGTCACCTGAGCCGTCTTCAAGTCTCAAGTGACAGCAGCCAAGGAAGAATAAACATACAACACACACTGACTGTTGTTACTGCTCCTCTCCATTTCCCCATAGAACAAACACAGATTCACGTGCATTCAGATACGAAATGAATGACAGAAAGATGCAGGATTATTATTCAAGAATCTTCAAGTGAAACAACTTAGTAATTATAATGAAGTAAACAATGATTGACACAATTGTTTTACAAAATAAAAGTCTTGAAATATATTTGAAGCTAAGAAAAGGAACATGCATTTGGGCAAGGTGTTTTTATTTGAGTTAAAAATCCTATGACTAAAATTCAGAAAGAACACTCCAGCAATGCGTTATCTTTGTTTGCAGGCGTGGCGGTTGCTGCAGTATTCTTTCAAATAAATCCTCTATTTACCTTGTTTGTTTTAAAACTAAGCTATTTGACTTCAGGGAAAGAACAGAGCAGGTTAAGAGAGAGGATGAGAAACAATTCCAAAGCCGTCAGTGTTGAGGTGATGAGAAATAATCTAGTTTTTAATCAACAAAAAACAGCATGCTTTTGAAATGGGACATTTTTGTCCCTCTATTCCCATATGTCCTCTCCAGTAGCCTCCCAGGTTAACCTTTACTGTCTGTATTACAGGACACCAGACTTACTTTTGTGTTTATGTGTTTGTAATTGTATTTTGTTTCAGGTCAAGGTCCCAGTAAAAAGGCTGCTAAACACCAGGCGGCAGAGGCGGCTCTCAATATTCTGCAGATAGACGCTGGAGCAGTGTGAGTAGAGCTGGAAGTGTTACAGAAATAAAACCGATTAGCAGCGAATATTGATTAATTAATACTTACATTTCGTTTTTGAAATACAATTTCTGTCAAATGAATGAATGCATCTTCTATGGTAGTAAACTGCATTCTTTTGGCTTTATGAGTTGGAGTTAGACTTAAATAATGTATTATATCAGTTGATAATAAAATAATTAGTGGCAGGAGATTTAATGAAAATAACATTATGCTAAAATTTGAACTAAATAAATACATAAATAAAATTGTTTAACTGACATCCTGTTGATCTGTAACCACTGTGGGAATCGCTTTGACGTCATTTTTCAAACAGGAAGGTTACCTGTGAAGTCTGAGAGTAACGGTGTCGTATCAGAAACCAACAACCACCCCAACTCAGTGGGGATACTGCAGGTGAATCACAGCTGTCCTGTGTGTGTGTGCCTTATTTTATTTATTTTTGTTTTGTCAGTTTATTGAACATGTCAGAAACAAAAATATACAACAATAATATATATATATTCTCTTTTTTTCCTTTTTGTTTTCTCACTCAAATGAATAATTATAACAAAGTACAAATAATAACAACAAAAAAACAATAATAATTCTCAGATAGTCTCTGTCATGTTCAACAGGGGCAAGAAGAAGCTTAAAAAAACTTTTCTGGTCCTACCCCCTCTAGCATATATTTTTCTTATAAATAAAACATTAGGTCATCGTCATCAGCGACATGTTTGTCTTGTTAATTTGTTTGCTTTTTGTTTTTTTTAAAAACAATCAAATAAATTACTTTTACAATTACAAGAAATAACAACAAATGGGATTTTACAGGTCCTGTTCATAACCATTAGCTATTGCAATTTGCAAATTAGTGTGTATACTTATTTCCAGGTTGAATAGTAAAAAACAAAAGTAGTCAAAGCTTCATAAACTTGTTTACTTCCAGAGATTAAATATCTTGTTTGTTTATTAAACTGTAACTGAAAGTGGCATGCAGCAATAGCAATATATCCTTAACTATAAAAACTGTATTTTTCTTTCTCCCACATCTTTCTCCCTTTTCCCTTTTTTGTATTTCTTTCTTTGTGAATATTGGTTCTCAGTACAATCACAAGGCATTTCATAACACACTTCCTAGAGTCACCTCTATTGCTACAAAAACAACCGATTGAGTTAAACGTAAAAAACCAATACATTATATAAACACTAACTCAGATTTCCCTCTCGTCATTACATGTGTCTCTCCTTCAGGAGTTGGCGCTGCAGAGAGGATGGCGTCTTCCTGATTACACCGTGTTAATGGAGGCTGGCCCGCCACACAAGAGAGAGTTCACTGTTACGTGTCGAATGGAGTCCCTGTCAGAGAAAGGTAGGGGTGTCTTTTCAACATTTCAACATTTTGTGTTGTTGTTGTTCATAATCTAACCTCGTCTCGTGTTTCGACAGCTGTAGGGAATTCAAAGAAGGTGGCGAAAAAGACAGCTGCAGAGAAAATGGTGTCAAAGCTTCAAGGTCTGTCGGGCTGTTCTGAAATCACATGGGTATGTCAAATATGTCTCCCCTTTGCAAAAGTGACCACTGGAGGCAACTTTTCTTAGCAAATGTTCTTGGTGATAATTGTCGTTAATTTGTGTTATATTTTATTTTCCAGACTCCTAAACCAAGTGTCCGATTTGAGAACTTACGGAACTCGTCGGCGGAGAACATAACTTCACTGAGGAGAAACCCGCTGAGCATTCCCAACACAGATTATATTCAGCTGATGCTGGAGCTGTCCAAGGAGCAGGGCTTTGAGGTCACATACTTTGACATTGGTAAGAAAACACACACTGCAGTAGTGTTGCTGGGGTTGCTAAGATACAGAGGGCCTTCCTCTAAGCTCCTCTCACTAAAGAAAACACTGGACGCCGTTTGACTGCGGCTCTAGTTATTGTTATAGATCTGCTGATAGTAAAACACCAGTAGACAGTTGAAATGAGCTTATGACTGAAACTAGAACAGATATGAGGAATTATAACCAGCTATACATTCTGTAAATAATATTTATCAGTTTATTTTTAAAAGGCAGCCGGTGAGTCTGGTCTTTTCAGGTACAGGAAGAGTGCGTGAGCCTGTTTTACAAAACAATGCAGCGTGACATGCAGAATTGTCCTTTCGCTTTAAATGTAAAGCAAAAAAACCCAGTTTTGACTTAAACATTTTTTTCAATTTCTTTGCAGACATTTTGATACAAAGACATTCCTTTTTTGACGGGGCCTTTGCTTTTAATGTGACGCTGCTGGGAATGTTGGGATCAAATAAGCAATAACCTACCACAGCTCTGATACCCTGCTGTGAGAGTGGACACTGATGCTGTAATAAATGAGATCAAATAACAAACTGTTTTGGAGAACAACGCACCGATAATCTTAACAACTATAGAAAGATAATATAAGGATTATAAATACTTTTAATCGGTGTTGCTGAACATAAGTACTATCATGGGCTGGAGGAAGTCAAATGAGCTGAATGGAAAGCGCCCACACACTGTATTTAGTCTTTAGGTCACATGTGTCAAACTCAAGGCCCGGGGGCCAAATCAGGCCCTTGGTGGATTTAATTTCGGCCCGCAGGATCATTTTTAATTACTATTAGATCTGGCCCGCCGGTATATTGCACGCACACCTTCACTCAACCCTGAGGATCTCCTCAGCTTAGAGCCTGAGCCCAAACATTGATGAACTTGCAGCCAAGATGAGATGCCAAGTATCTGGCTTGAACTAGCATCACAGAGCAGCACACTGAGTTTCAATGTTTCCTTCTGCACTTTCTCTCTTGAGACAACAGGGCATGTTTGGTTTTTTCTTTGGGGGAAATTGTTTTTTTGAAGCTATTGTTGGCCTGTGGAAAAATGTGATCATAAGAAATGAAGCTGCAGATAGAGCCATAAGAAATGAATGCAACTGATTATTTAATGTTTAATGTTGTTTTTATGGGCAATAATTGAAGCTTTGTTAGTTCCAGGTTTAATATGTGCAATAAGTTAATTTCAATACGTTTTGCAATACACATTGAACCAGTCCGGCCCTCGACTAGTACCCATTTTTTTATTTTGGCCCACTGTGTATTTGAGTTTGACACCCCTGCTTTAGGTCATGTTGGTGTATTCCTCAGATGAGCTGACGGTGAACGGGCAGTACCAGTGTCTAGCGGAGATCTCCACCTCCCCGGTCACCGTGTGCCACGGCACCGGCATCTCCTGTAGCAACGCTCACAACGACGCCGCACACAGCGCCCTGCAGTACATCAAGATCATGGCCACCAGCAAGTAACACTGCCACGTCTGCTCCTGCTTCACCTGTCACACATCAGCTGATCATCCATCATCCTTCACACTAGTCTTCCTGCCGTGGATGAAGTCAAGCTATATTTTTATAATTATGTGTATCACAAAGCAGATCGGGAGCCGAATAACTGGACGTTCAGACTTGAATCAGGTAGAGCAGTATTTGTGAGGAGACAAATGGGATCAACATTAAGAAACAAACACAAATCAAATGTTGTCTTCAGGTTGAAGAGTTTTACTTGAGATGTCTAACGTACTGCATTTAGGATAATGTACATGTGTTATTTAAGTAGGAATAATATAAAGCACTTGTTCTTTAACTTTTTGTTTAGTTGTAAGTGGCAGTTCACCCCAAAATCAAAGATGCACTTTTTACCTTGTACCTTGTTGTGCTATTTATCAATCTAGAACGTCTTGTTGTGAGTTAAAGATTGTTATAATAAATATATTTGGAAGACTCCACAGCACCGATTTCTCCAGACTCTGTTGTGAGTAGTTGTATTTTGTACTAGCTGCTCCTGCTAACATCACAGTACGCTTCCTTCTGCAGATGGTGCTTCAGTTAAGAGGAAAACTATGTGTTTTTGATTTTGGGGTAAACTATCCTGTTTTCAAGCTGTAATTATCAAGCTGTGTTGTTTTTGCCTCTTTGTTTGTGAGGATGCAGATATATTTAGGTTGCATTTGTCTTAAATTATTTTTTTTATTACAGTTTTTCCCTGTAGCAATATATTGATCTGTATTGAGCCAATAGAAGATCTCAAACATTCATATTGCTTCAGAGATATTTACCTTTCTGTTAAACTCAAACATGAAGACGAATTGAGATTATTTTGACTTGTGTTATATATATATATTTAAAAAAAAGGGTATTCATTTTGGTTTACAAATGTTTGTTATTTCCTACTTACACACCGCTGTCAGTATGCAATCTACAGTGCAAGCCTCGCTGTCTGTATCTGGTTAACTCTTAAATGGATATAACACATTACTTCATATTACCATCCTGTTGCCATTTTTTGCAGTGTGCCTCAAACTATTTGTGATATATTAAATGCATTTACTGACTGTTGTATGGAAGTATCCCTGGTGCGGAGCAGCAACAACATGAAAACAGAAAATAAACCCAAACACTAAATGTTAACAAGTGTCAGTGGAGTGATTTTTAATGGTCACCTATATCCAATATCCAATATCCACTTTTTCACGTCTCATTTCATTCATATACTCTGTGTTAAGAGACTCGCAAAGTTTCAGGAAAAATTATTCTCTCTTTTTTTCCTGATCCATTTATATAAAAAGCTGTCTGAAAATGAGCTGATTTTGGCCACTTTGTGATGTCACAATGTTCAACCATGGTAGCCAGCCTTATCACCTGAATCTCCTCCTAGAGCACCATTGTGTATTTATTTAACCAAACACTTCACAGAGGGGCGTGGCCAGCAGCAGCTCATTTGCATTTAAAGCGACAGACAAAGGCCCCGGTTGCGTTCCAATAGTCCATTTAGCTTAGGAACCTTCCTTAACAAGTGAAATGACCCGGAAGGCCCTCAGTGGCAGCCATGATAAGTGCCGTTCCAATTCTCTAAATGAAAGGAAAGGATGTTTCAAACTTCCTTTATAACCTCCTTTAGCTTAGGAACCACTGGACCTCCCTTACCGAAAGGAGAGGAGAAAATGCTGCCCCACAATGCATTGCAGCCGCAGCATTTGCCGTCACTCAACAGTCGGCAGTTCACGGAAACAACCGATTATGACCGAGAAATGATATTATGATAGTTACGGTGCTTATTAAGCATTTTAAAACGTATGTGGTAAGTTGCCAAAGTGCTTTGTTTTGAACGTTCATCAGTATTATAATCAAAAAGAGAAATATGAACTTTAGTTTTTACTGAATGATCAAATAAAGTCAACATTTCACAGTGTTTACTGAGCTGTGTGGGGTTTGTCCAACTTTTAAAAGATGTTTGAATGGTGATATACACAGTGATAGATGTTAAGGACTAACGTTTATAATAAATACATTTGTATTTATTTTAAGATCTTTTCATACAATCATACGTATTGGGATCATTTGTATTAATGTGGACCGGAGGGAGAGGGTGACGACCATAGGTGACGACGAGCATAAGTTTCACTTTCCTTTTTTATTTCAATTCCAACTTTGGTCATGAAGAATATGTTTCTCTGTAGTCCCCGTTCATAAAGCATAAAACAACAGCATCAGAGCACGGTGCAGAGTCTCTAGATGAGTCCGTCGTACTTTTTAAACATCCATGATGTTGTAGTCCGCTGTATAGAAAACTAGTTTCCATAGTTTCCCCACAGCAGCAGACGCACATTCATGACGTCCGCTGGCGCATCATAAACACGTCGGATAGTGAAAGTGCATTCGGATTCTCTAAAGTACCGCATTCTCTTCTCATAAGTCCTTTTGAATTCTCCTATCCACTTTCCCTTAACCCCGTGACGTTTCACTCAGAGGTCAAGGAATAGGAGATAGGGTTATAATTTAGGAGCTGATTTTTGGATTATCGGAACGCAACCCCCGTCTCAGGTCGGTTAAATGAAATCCTTGCTTCCCTCACTTGCGTCGTTTCCCTGCGTCTAGTCCCTCCCACCAGGGAAGCATGGAGAGACCTTATATATATAGTATATGGGAGAGACCCAAGGGCCCCGTCTCAGGTCGGTTACATTCAATCCTTGCTTCCCTCACTTGCGTCGTTTGCCTGCGTCTCTCCCACCAGGGAAGCATGGAGGGACGCAAGGAAACCACGAGAAGCAGGGAAATGAGTTTTAAGAGCAATGGGACGTCCTTTCCTCCGGAGCGTCACATGAAGCGACGTCCGTTTGTGATGATGCCGCACAGCTGATCGTCTGACAGCAGCTCTGTCCCCGTTGTTTTCACAAACACCACTCTCATGTCAAGAAGCATCAGATCAGTGCATGCGCTGCATCGTCCAATCAGTGAGCGATACACAGTAAGGGGGCGGGGCGAGTATCTGAGGATTTCATCGGAGGATGGTCTGGTGGTTCCTCGGTTATCGCTCCTCCATTATCGCTCCTCGCTCCTCGGCCCTCCGGCAGAAATAAGAGCCATGGGACGCTACTCAAGATGGCGCAGACAAATCAACTTCCGGTGAGACCGAGGACCGAGGAAATGAAAATAGTCGACCTGAGACGGGGCCAAGGAAACCACGAGAAGCAGGGAGTCACGTGAAGCGACGTCCGTTTGTGATGACGCCGCACAGCTGTTCGTCTGACAGCAGCTCTGTCCCCGTTATTTTCAAACACCCAGCCTCTGTTAGTACACATTTACTGACACAAACATTTGTATCATCTGTTGTAGACCCCAATAAATAAAATAAGAACTCATTCTCAAAAAAGATAAACGCCATTCTTAAAATGTATAAACGAACAATAGTTTGATTAATATTGATTAGAGTGTACAAAATAAATAAAATAATTGAGAGAAGAAAAAGAGATATATTATCTATCAAACCCAGTTAGATTAACATTCATTGGATTGCACACTTTGTTTGTTTGTGTGGATATGTAGCAAATTAACATTTTAATAGCACTTAATGACTGACTGAATGGAAATGACAATAAATGAAAATGTAAAACGGAAAAAGCGATCATGAAAATGTTTCCAATAAATGAATAAAATGATTTTTGACCACTTTGTTGTTCAGATATATCACATATTTGTAACTAAATGAAACATTAATTGAAACAAAACACGGTATAAACTGAGGAGTGACTCTCGTGAGGTTCATGTATTTTCTTCACTCCGCTGGGAAACGGCTCTCACGTCAAGAAGCATCAGATCAGTGCATGCACTGCATCGACCAATCAGTGAGCGATACACAGTAAGGGGGCGGGGCGAGTGTCTGAGGATTTCATCGGAGGATGGTCTGGTGGTTCCTCGATTATCGCTCCTCCATTATCGCTCCTCGCTGCTCGGTCCTCCGGCAAAAATAAGAGCCATGGGACGCTACTCAAGATGGCGCAGACAAATCAACTTCCGGTGAGACCGAGGACCGAGGAGCGAGGAAATGAAAATAGTCGACCTGAGACGGGGCCACAGAATCAGCACTTTTGAAACAGGGCTGAAACAGAGGGGATTATGGGACGCTACAATGGGTGATCTGCTTGGTATTTGGAGCCAAACACTTCAGAGACATGTTTTTTATATATCTGAGATCTATAATATATTGTTGAAAAATAGTTAATAGGGGACCTTTAAGTCTGGTTTCTTTTAAAGACAATTCTGGACTTGCCCAGTTTTCTATAGAAATATTGACCAATTTAGAAAACACATTGGTACAATATTTATAATGTATTTGACGTCAATCAAAAATAATCCCAACATTCAAAAGTGGCGTTACATTCATTGATAACAGATGCTTGGTTTGCCCTTTTACGACAAATTGTTGGAAAGTGTGTTTGACAATGATATGTAACTTCTTAACCCTAATAATGTTGGCCACCTCACAACAGCTTTATAAGCTAACGTTAAAATGAATTGACTTCCATGGGATCTATGATAAACCACACTCGCCATCTTCTGAGTTTTACAGTTTTATTAGAACAAGCACTATGTAGCAGCAGTGTACAGTGTTCATGGAAAGATATGTACTTTGTTAAAATTGCACTTTTGAAGGTACCCATCAGGAAATAGATTTGAAAGGAACTGAGCTGACAGTGCTTTGTGATAAATGTCAGTCCAAAACTAAACACAAACAATGAGTCTAATTGGTCAAACTAAAAACATCTTTTAGTAAGGCATCTGCAACATTCATTGGCAGGCTAAGTTGTCTAGACATGCAGGTAGAATCGTGATTAAGAGGTTTTCATGATTTCCTTTTTTTTTTTTACTACCGTCTGACTATGATGCCAAACACTATGCAAAGCTTTTCTCCTACATCCACACACAACTGCTGGGATTCAGTTTTGTTCTTAAAAAAAAATCTGTAGGAGGATAGAGAAATCAGCTTCTGCAGTCGTGACCCATCTTCTAAATGTGCCGTATTTACAGTGATCACCAAAAATGATTTGGTTAAATGTTGGAGAAGCAGAGCAGTGCACAACATCTTTTAACCTCTGCAAGCGTTTTACAGTCCCTCCTTTTTTTTCTTTCCAAGTCATCTCCCTTTAAGACTTTAGACATCACCTCTATCCTCAGTTCATGTTTTCATTCGATGAGCCTGGGTAATGTGTGGAGTTTGTTAACGGAATACCTTCTTGCCATGGGGTTTCCTATCAGTAGTGTTTGTGAGGCATTAATAAATGCATTAAGGCACAGCAAGTGAAACCGACGACAACAAATTGTATCATTGAGTGTGTGATAGAATTTAAAGCACATTTAAAAAAAAAAAAAAGAGCAAAGCAGTACTACCCTTTTGGTGTGTGATCTACAGTACCGTATGGACAGTGCACACAAGATGGATTTGCTTCACATAGTTTTCACTCTTCATATATTCACTTCTTCCTGTTGTGGCGTCACCCTAAGCGAGGGGAATCCACTTAAATAGCTCCTACACAATGTGTCGCTACTTGTGTGTGTTATAGTTTGTTCCTCTGTAACTCAAAAGGGGGACACTAGTTAAAACAATAAAGCTGCTTTGCAATAAATACACAAAATGCAAACTGGTGCTTTGCATAAACCATAGCAGTAGAGTCTCTGGGGAATCACACGCATTGAGATTCTTCCAGTGTTTTTGTTACCGTACACAACTGGTTCGGCTTTAAAATCTTAAACATTTCAGTAAATATTTATTTTGTTGACCCAAAGAAACTGTATGTTCATGGGACGGCCTGCAGGTGGCTCTGGTGTTTCAACTGTATGTTTAGTCATGGGAGTGCAAACATAATTATGTAACTTATCAAAAGAAAAATGAATTCTTATTTAATGGTTGATTAATAATGGAAGCAATTAAGTAAGAAAAACACCAAAACAGCTGCTGGTTACTTTTTTTCTTCTTTGTTTCATATCATTTTAAGTTTTTGGTTGTTAGTCAGAACGAGGATGTAAATTAAAGGCATTGCTTTGGTAAACTGTGATGGGAATTTGTAGTCTTTTTTTTCAGAAAATGAATAATTTGTTAGTTAACAACTTTTTGAACATTTAAAAATAACTGT